AGGGAGGAGAGGCGAGTAGAGGAGAGGAGAGGAGAGGAGAGGAGAGGAGAGGAGAGGAGACGCGAGGAGAGGAGAGGAGAGGAGAGGAGAGGAGAGGAGAGGAGAGCTGCTCTGCCTGGTCCTGCGGGGTGAGGGATGATGAAGCAACACTCAGGATCTGCCAGCAGACATAAATGCATCACATTTGGTAATTCACAACATAAATTTGCATAATTTAATTAAAAGAAATTCACAAGTGTATTCTTAGCAAAAAGAGAAGAATTGCTGTGTCTGGACCCAAATGTAGAGCTGAGGCAAGAATACTGTCAACAAGTGGCACTGCCTTGTCTTGTATCATCTGTCAGTCCTCGAAACATTGCAATAATAAAAACAGAGGATTTCCATTACGTTCCCCATACAATATTATCCAATTCTGACAGAAAACCCTTTGAAATCCTGTGTACAAATGTGATATAATAGCTGATATCGCAATAATTCTCTTCACTGAAATATTATTTTGCATTTTTGCTCTCCTTTTATGCCCCAAGGACAGTGCATGTCATTAATGCAAAGGTTTCCTCTTGTTCTGAGGGTCTCTTGTTCCTATTACTCCTTTCACTGAAATGTCCTTAGGAAAAGAAGATTGCTTTAACATGAGGTGATAGAAGATGACAGGGAACAAGTAAGGAATTTTTATGTTCTCGTTGTTACGAGTTCAAGTAGGGTTCAGGTAAGCAATGTAGAATTCTGTCAGGTAGAAGCCAAAGAGGATAATCAAAACAACTTATTTTACAGAAATTATGGTTTTTCAGCATCAAGTGATCAGGATTTGCCACAGATGTGCTTGGTACCCCTTCTTAATTCCTGACCCACTCCTGGCCCAAGCCTTGCCACCCACTGAGGGATTTTAAAGCCTTTAAAGGCCAGATCCAAATGTGTCCTGGATCTGAACCAGCCTGTTCCCGTCACAGGCTGTGTAGGACAAGTTCCCTGAGGCAGGTAAATAGATGAGAAATATATATCTTTACTGTTAGATCATTCACATTTTCCTCAAGCAATCATATCAGATATTTTCTAAAAATTATTATGGTTGTGGGGTAGGGAAATAATAAGGAAAAAATAAGGTTCTCACAGTTGCATGAGTAGCAGCCATATATAAAATATATAAAATATGGCCTTGATACCTCTAGAGTAATTTGTATGATTTTGGAAAGTTTCTCAGTGTCTTCTCCTGCAGTTTCAATTCATAAATCCATCAATAAAGACACAAGTCAGAACCTGTAGTTTTGTGTCCAGCTTTATAGCAAGCACTGGAAGAACAGAGCTGGGCTCTCAGTCCCAAGCAGCCACAATTCCTACACGGATTTTAACCCAATTTCCAAGGCCCTGAGCACACCCAGCCCAGCCTAGGACAAGCTGGGAGCACTCAGCATTCCCCATTTCCTTCTGAAACCAGAAGGGTTTCTGCTGAGAGAATCACACCGGAGGGACAGTAAACAGAAAGTGACTTCTAAGTAGCTTTTAGAGCAATCATATGTTAATTATAAAAGCATCTGTGTTAGGCTTTACCTCCTCAACACAATCTTTAATGCATCTAAAGCCCTTCCTATTTATATGAGCCCGTTTCCTCTTGATTGTAGAACGCTGCAGGCAGCCAAACTTTCCATTTACCCTTCCATTACTATTTTAGTGTGCCTAATACATATTTTTCTATTTTATTTGATATTACTGCATCATATATCATCTATGAAGAAATCAAGCTTGGTCATATAAATATATTACATTTTAAAACCACCCTAAAAAGATTTTTTTTTTTTATATGGAGGCAGAGAAATGTTCAACCTCTTGACCAATGAGCAACAAAAATTATTGTGTTTGCTGTGATCCTCCAACCAGTGTCTGGATTCTGCAGAGATAAATACTCAGGGTGGTAAGAGTGTTAAAAAAATTGACTAAATAGAAAATTCACCATCAGAATTAAATTAAATTTTCACAGAGCTGGATACATGAAGAAGTGTGAATTAATCACAAGTAACCTCACCAATACTACCACATCTCCCTACAAAGACTTTATTCATTGCACCTATGAAAAATAAGTTTCTGTACCTAAACCATCTGACTTTTTCTAACATTTCCATGTCATTGAAAAGACAACAGCCCTTAGAATAATTAATCTCCGTGCTGACTTCTGGAGGAACTAAAAAAAAAGAAAATAAAGGATTTTGTAGTCCTTAAAAACACATGTGAAAATGAATATACTGCTGTGGCTAACAAAACTTTGATGTCCAGAGAGTGCGATTAAAGAATATTCAATATAGATATTATTTGTTTCCTCCTATCTGGACATTTGTGAAGAAATTCTCACCATGAGAATCTACAGCATAAACCTGTGGCATTTATCATACTATTGAGCACAGAAACTTGCAGGTACCTGCAATCATGAGCTGTTGAGGATGGAAAAATTAATTCTAACTTGTCATCCCTTGTTAATTATCAGCTATACGGCCTTTATCCCAATCCTAGGTGTATTTTTATGTGTTAACATTAAGATTAGCACTTCACTGGCACATCCAGCAGTTCAAATGACGGGTTGGTGATAAATTCAACTTTGCTGTAACACCATTAAAGTAAGGGATAGATGGAATGAGAGGAAATTCCAGCTGATTGCACCGGCTTGTTGAAGAGTCAAAAAAAACCCCAAAAACCAACCCTTTTTTTTAAACTTTGATCTGTTGAAGTGGAACTTTTCAGAGCACTGATTCATTACCTACAGGATCTCCCCTTTTCCCCTTGTCAGTCTCACTGGGCTTGGCACGGGGCTCACGGGAATTAAGGTAAAGTTTGGGCTTGCCCCAGTGGCTCATAGAAAATTCCCTGTTTTCACTCTTAGCTGGCTCCGTGGCTCTGCAGGCACCCAGTGCTCTGAGCTGTAATTATTGGTCAGCTTGGACTCTCTAATCTTTCTCTTTTCTGCCTCCAGCTGTCAGCTCATCTAAGTCACGGGTGGTTGCCTCCCAGAGATTGATGATGTTGGTGATAATGGGATGCATTGACTTGTGACTTCAATTTGGATCTTATCACTGGGGGGAAAAAAGCAAACAAATGGGAATCCAAGTTCTTATTTCAGTGTTTTCCGTCCCCCTTTTGTCTTTTAGATTCATAATGGTGGCTCCTCTGAATTTTTTGATGTCTTCTTTCTCTGGCTGGCTCACTTGTTCACCATTATCTTTAAAAAGGACTGAAAAGCCCCATAATTTACACCCCAGAATGGTGACTTTTAATTCAAGATGTGTCTATGGTAGAGATATCCCAGTGTCTTTAGGCAGACTTTAAACACCTCTACACCTGAATAATTAAAAAAGAGCGGTTTTTGAGTTTCCTTTTTAATTCATAATTGGAGGTTTTGCCTAAATAAATAAAACTGGACACCCAAGATCAAGAATAAAATGAGAAACACAGTTCAGGCAGTTTTCTCCAAATAATACTGCTACTGCTTCATACACTAAATTACCAATCCATTTGACTTAATGAGAAAAATTTGGCTTTGCCTGAGACCCTGACTACATCTTTAAATTAAATATGTGCAAAGGAGAGTTCTTAGAGTTAGGAAAGCAGAATGTTGTGCATGTTTTGTCCCCACGTTTCTGAGTTCTCTCTGCATAGTTTAGCAATGAAAATGAGTTTTTATTGTTACCAGCACTTCCCAAATCAACTCTGAGTTAATGGCAGTCGTGGTCTGCAGAAAAAAAAATAAATTTAAAAGTGTCTGAACTTTCCTTTGATCTCTATTGTAACCAAGCTTATTTACAACTTTGAGCTTAGGGAGAAGGATGTGGTTAATTTATTGACATTTTCTCCCATATTTGTTCTTCACACTTTGCTTTTTGACTGCATGTAAAAGTACAGGACTTCCCGGAGAAAAAGTATCTTGGTTTTATTTCTGGTCTCACTGGAACCAAGAAGTAAATCTCATTTCAAAGTCTCATTAAATTGCCATCTGGATTTCCAGACCAAAAAGGTTTGGAAACGTTGAGCTAAACTGCAGATAAGCGACCAAATTACTGGATGCTTCTCCAAGCTAAATCTCGGAATCAGTGAACTCTCTCTCCCGGATATTTTCTCTAGCGAGGTGTAAAACACAGAAGTATTTCATTTTCACATCACCAGCTATGCTTGCAGTGTTGGCAGGTAATAAAAAAGGGGGAAGGGGTGTATTTATGGAGGGAGAGGACTGAGGATCTGCTGCAGCACAAGAACATAAAAGCCAAAGGAGCAGAAAGGAACCACTGAGCTGTCGCCTCAGGAACACCACAACCAGGTTTTTCTGGGAGTGAGCTGTGTGGGACACCACCAGAGCTGGGTCCAGAACCAATAAAACATTCACAGATCATCAATGGCTTCTGAACTTTATCCTAAAGTCTACAGCTGGAACAAAATGATGAGCATCAGTGACCGAGACAGCCTGCACCTGGTTTTTGGTGGTGTCTGGGATGTTCCTGCAAGGCCACTGCCTTTCTCCGTGTGTTAATCACCTCTTGGGGCTGCAGGAAGGGATCCCTGCCCAAAAAATACTCTGGAATCCATTGAAAAGGAGTATTTTTATGGCTCTTCTCATCCTCACCCTCTGCTCCCATGCTTATAACAAACTTGGCAAGAAATATTTCCTTGGGACTCAGGATTATTTGGAAAATGCTTTAAAGGTGGGGATGAAAAAGAGAAGATGGTTTCATGTTGACACAGTGCACATCTGACAGTATCCTACTCCAAACCTGTGCCCTTTATGCTGTGAACTTGGGGATTTATTCCATGGGATGTCGAGATCCTGGACATCCATTGAAATCCATTGAAATGATGGAAATCCTCTTGTTGCCTTAAACAAAGCTGTGATTTCACCTTATCTGTACAAACATCTCTCTCATTTTGCATTATTTAGTCTTCAGGGTGTGTGGGTTTCCATGTAGGGTGTATTGAACCAAAGGAATATTTTGAGGATAAAAAAAGAAAGAAAAAAATGCTTTAAAATTATGTATTTTGATGGACAGAAGAATTATCCAAAATGTATATTAAAAATATATATTTTTTTTAAAAAAAATCTAAAGTATATTTATTACCCTGCCAGAATGATATCTTTGCCCTCCTTCCTTTCTTATGTAGACAAAATGCTAATCACTGAATTTTCAGTCATTCCAGGTTTGAGAAAAGAAGCAAAAGACCATCCCATAATGTATTTGGAGCAGATGACATTGATAATCAAAATTATTTTTCAATTAGCATACAAAGAGATTCAAATTTAGATTAATGTAACCCACTTCATGTTTTACAGGAAATATTGATGAAGCAGAACGAGAGTGGAAAGCAGGATTCCATCGCTGGAACAATTACATGTCAGACTGGAAAAATCAATTTAATGATTACACCAGCAAGAAGGAGCTGTGCAGTCTCTAATTAATATGTTTACTCTTTCCAGTTTGTCCCTAGAACTGTTCATCAGGCAGATACCCAGGTAGCTTCCCAACGTGTCGAGCATTAAATGTGTTATGCAGATTAAAAGGAAATGTTACAGATACAATTTTGATTTCAGATCTTTCATTTATATTTTACCTCCTCTCTCAATAAAAAAAAAAACCCACACGGCACCCACACCCTTTGAAGCTTCCCTGGGTTAAGTAGGACTGTGAGATTAAAGGCTGGAGATTAATGATGCACATATTATTATAAATACTTGCTGCTTAAATTCACCCTTCAAAGAAACAATGCAATCTGTTAGAGGGAAATGGATTTTTTTTAAAAACAGAAATAGCAGTTTTACAGCATTGCCATGCAGAACACAATCAGATTTAATCTTTAAACACCACCGTGCTCCAGCCTTATTTCAGACATAATTTCACTGTCATAAACATAAAGATACAATAACTCTGCTGGACACACAAGGCAATATTTGCTTGTTAGACCAAAAACTTTTAAGACTGCTGTAAAAGTGTGAATCTGTGCCTCTTTCTGGCCAAACCTGTAGGACAAATCCATGGTAGGAGATGATTTGAGCTGTGTATGGAAAGCCTAAATCAGGAGCTACACTGAAATTAGCTGGAAAACCCAGCGTCCTTCCCACAGTTCTCATTTTTCAAGGAGTAAAGAGTTATGGATTCACAAATAATGAATTCACATCTTTCCAGCTCAGGCACCCTGGGACAAGTCCCTCCTACAGAGACAAGCTCCAATTATGACTTTCATTTTGTCCACTCCGTTGCCTCCAGGTTGAGGGACACCCCACATTTCCTGGAGCACGAGGAGCAGGGCTTTACACCTGCAGAAGAGCCTCAGTCTCGGTGACAGCAGATTCCCAGCCCCAAAAGCTGCCAGGAGAGTGGGGCCTGGCCAGAAATCCGCTGGATGGAAGGCTGGGAAGGGGATCCCTGCAGAGGGACGTTGTGACCTTGGTGGGAAGAACCCAAAGGACTCTTTGCCACGGCCAGGTGAGCTCCCTGCCCTGGGAGCCGGCATCTCCCACTCTCCTTTCCACCTGACTGAGCTGAACCTATTAAAAACTTCTAGAGAAACCCATGGATAATTCTTCCAACTTCCCTCCTTCTGGATGGGGCTGGAATTTTTCTGCCTGAACACCGCCGTAATTGGTTGCTTTCCACTGGCTCAACTGGGGAGAATAAATGCCAAGAACTTGATGAATGTAAGTAGTATGTAAGAGCAACAAGCCATCTCATAAATGAATTATCCTGAAGCTTTCTGTAAACGCAATAGCATCTCAGTGCATCTATTTTCTGTGCTAGTGATTGCAAAATGCCTCCTTGGATTGAGCTGAAGAACTCCGGATAATGAACTGAGAGTGTTCTCTTCCTGCCAATCAGTTTGACCACACAGGATCCCTGCACTGAAAGGATTTATTTATAAAGGAAGGCCAAATTCTGCAAGAGAGGATGGCTTATCATCTTTCCTGTTATTTCTAAGAGAACACAACTACATCCTACAACTACAACAACTTCCCTGACTACATTACTGAAAACCACCTTTTAGCACAGGATTTTCAAAGGCTGCAGACAAACCTGAACAGAGGGAAAAAAAAAAAAATCTGATCAGTTTTGAACGTGCTGATCAAAACTTGAAATGATCTGGGATCCAAAAGCCCTCTTTATGTAGCACTGCATGTTTATACCACAGGTAATCAGCCCATTACATAGATTAGCAGAGTATTTATCAATATTCTTCAGAGCAACCATGTGATACTGAAAATAAACACAGAAGGGTGAACTTTTCGTCCATCCCTGAGCAGTTCTGGCATTCCCCATTTTATTTCTGTGCTGTTCTTCAGGGGTTTTTTGGGTGCTGCTCTGCCACAGTGAGCCTTGACAGCACCATCAAAGCAGTATTTATTTCTCTAGCCATCCTCTTCACAGCAATATTTCCTTATCCACCTCTCTGATCAGCCTAATCAAGGAGGGGAAAATATCTGAGCCAATTAAAATGAAAAATAACCTTTGGAAAGGTGGTGAAGTTTATAAAATGTTTGGTTGCAAAGGTGTTTTTTTTTTGAGTAAAACAAAGGTTAAAGCACTTTTTGCAGGTTTTACTGATTTTCCTTGGTGTGACTTGCTAGCTTTGTATTTATTCACCTCCTGGGAAATAATATCTCCATTTATCATTCAAATGAAATCAATACATCATGTAGTCATTCATGACTCATATCTGAAAAAAAAAAACCCCAAGCAAAGCCTGAAGTACTTGAATGTAAATGGTTAAGGTAATGAAGAGTGAAAAAAGGCTGTGATTGCTGAAAATGATGATTATATATTAGAGGGGTATCTCACCCAGACCTTCCTGAAGATGGAATGTTGTTAATTGATGTTTTATTTTCGCTCCTGAGAGCCAAGAAACACAGGTTTCTCTGTGAAACCTGAGAAAATGTGTTGATTCTTTCTTACCATCCTTGATACCCAAAGCATTCTGAATTTAGTCACAGAGCTGATGAAAGATCAGGACAAAATGAACTGAAGTGCCAGCAAAAACGTTGGCATTGAACCAGTTGTCATTGGGTTTATAATCTTTAATGACAGATATTTCACATTTATTTCAAATATTGGCATTGCAGGGCTGAAGTCAGACATTTTTCAGCAATGAAACCCACCACTTTTATTTTTTTTTTCACATTTTAAATGTTTATATGTTTCTGAAGAAATTTTTGCTAGATAAGCTTGCAGTAGTTAGTTAAGCATTATTTGTGTGAAATCCAATCTATTCTCCTGCTGGAGCATCAAACTCAGGAGTTGGGATGTTCACAGTACCTGACCCAGGCCTGCTCTGCAAAGCTGCACCAACCAATCTTGAGGATTTCTGGCTTTCAACAGAGTCTAAAATTGTCTCTAACACAACTTAGACCCTCCCAAAATTTCCAGATTTCCCCTCAGCTGCAGATATTACCCTCATAAATTATTATATATAACAATATATATGTAATAATGATATAATATAATTATATATTATATAATAATATATATATATAATATTATATATATAATAAATTATTACCCCCTTATTGCTTGGATTTATCCTCATGGATTATCCTCCCGGATTTTTGGAATGGATGTTCAGGCCTGGCCTTGGGATCAGTCCAATGTTATCAAACTAAAAAAGGCAAATTTCTGGTCAAGTGGAAGGCTGGGGATTGTCCTTCTTTGGTCAGTAGAGGCTCAGTCTATTTATACAGCAGAGATTTCTGCTCTATAAACACATGGATAGATGTACCCAGTTAAATCTTCGTGAGGAGAAAGCTCATCCCCAGCAGCTCAGAGCTGGGAAGGATTCTTTTCAACTGAAATAATTTAAGTTTGTTATTGTTTATTTAAAAAAAAAAAACAAAAACAGAAAAATTCTTATTTGAATTAGAATTTTGGAGAGAAAATTAGTTTATGAAAGAATAGACCCTTGTAGTGTTCCTGTCCCAGCAGATCATTACCAAGTGGTTTGGCTTCTGTAACACACAGATACCAAATGGATTAATCTGAACATAACATGGACAGAGGAGGGATATAAATTTGTCTCCATCAACATCACAACGTCGTGTTCTGCGGCTTGATTATGTTTTATCATTTCTCCTGGCTCAGCACCAGTTCTGCACCATCAGCAGAGCTATTTGGAGGGACATAACCAACGTCACCGTGCTTGAGTTCCACCTGCAGCGTGTCCAGAGAGTGGAGAGCAGCCTGGGCTGGCACTGCCCCCGACTCTGCCACTGCCCTCCTCAGCTCCAGGGGAAAACTTCACAAGTGAGAAAATAAATGCCCCCCCAAAAAAACGAGGAACAAAGAGAGGAAAATAAATAAGGGGAAAAAAAAAACCAAAAAAACCCAGGAAAAATAAAAATCAGGAAACTGAACAAAACACACACCAAACCAACCAAACCCTCTCCACAAAGGAAAGCAACAAAATGAACAAAAACAGCCACCCTCCCCCCAAAAAAACACAGTGAGCAGGAGAATTTAAAAACAAACAAACAAACAAACATAAAACAAGTAAAAAGCCTAGAAACAAACAAGGAGGAAAGAAAAAAATATAGAAAAAGGAAGGAAGGGAGGAAGGATTAAAGAGGAGAAATGGAAAAAAAAACCACAACCAAGGGGGGGAAGCAAGTGTGGCAGAAAATGGGAGTGATGAAAAATAAGGTGTGAAGAGAACCCAAACGAATAGGGGGGAAGGAATTAAAAGAAGAGCTCACACAAGAGCATCTGCCCCAGAATGATCAACCACGGCAGGGTTTAACACCATCCCCTGAGGCAATAAGTATCCCAGTGTCTCTGGCCCCATAACTCCAGCCAAAAATTCCTCCCCCTGAACTGCCAAATAAGTTTAGGAATCTGACAGTGATCAGAGCACGGGGTGAGGAATGAGCTGGGCAGGTTTGGCTCAGGCTTGGGGGCTGCTCTGGATGATGCTGCTGCCAGCTGACTCCTTTCTCCCTGTCTTTTCTCTTCCAGCCCCTGGAATTCTGGGCATTTTTCAAAGCCCCGGTGTCCTTGGCCAGGCAGAGCCTGAAGCCAGCACCTGGGTAACAGATCTGTGCAGCTGGAGGTGTTTGCCATGCCTGCTCCATCTGTTCCAAATGCCACAGGTGTGCTGATTTACTCCTGGTGAACCGGGAGCAAGAATCCTTTAGGAGAAAAATCAAAAGTTCCTGGCTGAATTACAAGTATTTCTCTCTTTCTCCGTGCTCCGTTTTCATTTATCCTCACCTACAGCTCTAGGTGGGTTTTCCATTGCTTCTGATGAACATAAAGAAACTTCTTAAAAAACAATCTCTGGTAAAATACAGAATTTTGTTTGGATGCTGCAGCTTTGGGATCTACAACAGGGATTTGGCCACAGGGTTAATTAATATTTAACTGCCTTGACTGGGTGAGGTGGGAGGAGCACATGGTGTGTTTCCTAGGGAATATTCATCCATGCACCCAGACATCCATAGAAATACAGGTCCAGCAGCAGCTGCCCCCCAGCTTTTGTCAGCAGCATGGAGATGAGATTTTATCTGCTGCACCTTGAAAACA